CCTAGCAGTTAAGAACCCTCTTTCCTTATAAATAGTTCTATGAACATGTAGCATAGTAAAGGCATGTTTGGAGTCAGTATAGATACTAGCCTTTGTTTTTTCCTAGCAAAAGAGCCCTTGTCAGGGCTATTAGCTCTTGACTTTTGGGCTAAAGTTCCAGTAGGTAGAGACTGAGCTTTCATCACAGAGTCCACAGTCACCACTGCATACCCTGCTCGGAGGACCCCTTCTAGTATAAAGCTGCTTTCATCTGTGAAGTACGCAACATCTGGGTCCCCTAGGGGATGATCTGTGAGATCTCCATGGCTGGAGAATAACTTTATCTGTGGCATCTGGGTTAAGAGAGCTTACTGTCTCTAGAGTTATGCAGGGATTTTTGCATAGAAGCCCCTGATACCAGTCATCTTTGGATTTCACAAGTGGTGCCTGTTCTGGTCTGTTAAGGTTATACTGAGTGTGGTAATTGAACGGTCAGTTGTTGTCCCAAGGTCAGCTTGTGAGCAGGTTAGTGGCAGCAAGTGTCCTGAAGCTTGGAGGCCATCCTAGGGCCACTTAGAGTCCAGTTGTTTTGACAAGTATGTCACAAGGTGAAGTCAAAATCTCATGACTTGAGTTAGGACTCCTATGGTTATTTTCTTTCATTTGTGGACATATCAGGAGAAAGGATCCAGTAGTTCTTTCTGGATATCGTGTTATATCTGCCAGTTGTATCTGGCAGCCCAAAGCCTGGGGCCTGAATCAGGGCCTTTTTAATTTGTTAAAGTGGTTTTTTTCCTAGTAGCTTCCCAGAGGAGGGGTTCCTTTCCCTTCCTTTGGGGGCTTTATATAGGGGCTTAGCCATAAGTGAGAATTTGGGTCCAGATATGACAGATTCCCGTTGCCCCCAAGAACTCTGTGTGGCACTAGGTAGTTGGGATTGGGAGGGCATAGGCAGCCTGTTCTGCTCAATGCCTAGTTGACGCTCCCCTTATATCACTATGTGGCCTAAATATTTGACCTCCTGTTGGCAAATTCGGTTTGTTTTTTGAGGTCTTTAGTTCCTTGATAGTAGTCCTTGTGGGTTGGGGCTGCTAAAAAAAGGTCATCTACATACTGTAGCAAGGTATAGTTGTCCTCTGATGTGAGGAAGGCTTTGAGGTCAGTGGCCAACACCTCTCTAAAGATTGTAGGGGAGTTTTTTAATCCTTGGGGAAGCATAGTCCAGGTGAGCTGTTATTTAATGTTCATGACGGGATCTCCAGCTGTAGGTTTACCGCTTGGATCTTTGATGTGCAGCCTGTTGTGTTGTCTAGTTGCTTCCATCTGCTGAGTCTTGACTTGGACCTCTGCCTCCAGGCTCTGTGGGAGATGCAGTAGTTCTTTCTGGATATCGTGTTTCTGCTGTTGTGTGTGCACCATGCAGCCTACTTCTGCACATGCCATTGCTGTTCTTGTGTCTCTGTCTCTGCCTGTACCTTGGCCTGCGTGTGTGCCTTGGCCAGCTGCTGCTGTTTTTCCTGTGTGGCTTCCACTTCTGCCAGTCACTCTCATTCCTTCTGGACCTTCTGCTGTAGTGTCTGCTCTGTAAGGTTTTTGTGGTTCTCTATCTCTGTATCAGCAGCTTGTTTTTGCTTCAGGAGGGTCTGCTGTACCTGTGCCCTCCATGTTACCTCCTGTTCGGCTTTCTTGCACAGCTTCTCAGCAACCTGGACCTTAGCCTTGGCCTATGTCAGTTCCTCTGGCAGCTTTGTTAGCCACTGTTTCTTTCCTCTGCTGGTGAAACTGTGTTGCTTCACACTCAGCATGCTCTTGAGCCTCCTTGGCCTCTTCAGTCACTCACGGGGTTGCTTCTGCCTTGCCATATAGCCCCTCTAGCATGTTTATGTGTCTTCTCTGTCTGTAGTTGCTTTTGGGCAGCCTCTGGGCCAGCTGCAGCTGGCAAGCTAACTCCTGTTCTGCTTGCTCTTGTAGGCACTGGGCCTTTTCCACCTTGACCTTGAGCCACTCACTGTTTTCCAGTAGCCTTGCACTGCCATGTTGCTTCCTCCTCAGCTCTCAGGCTCTCCTGTACGTTCTCTTTGGCCTGATGGCACTGCTGCTCTTTCTCTACTACCAGCTGTCATTTGAGTTTACTCTTTGATGTCTTGCATGGCTAGGCAAGGCCCTCCTTAATGTTTGCCTTGTGCTGTGCTTTTTTTCATCCCTGTGACTCCTAGCAGGCTGATTCCTTTATCTCTTTCGGTTTAGGCTCAGCTTAGGCTAGGAGTTTTATAATATGTTGCCAGACAGAGCTGAAGCCATGCAGGCTGGGTCTGGACTGTGTTCAGTCATGAGCTGATGTAAGGAAATTGGTTTGGATGTCCTGGCTGTCCTCTGTTCCTGGTCACTACCTGATATGTGCACTCAATTGTTTTTTATCTGTTGTCCCCTCAGCTGGCCCTCTAACATCAAAGGAAGGCCAGTTAACTTTACAAAGAGTTTTAAACTGTGCTAATGACCACAGTTGTGGGCCTGTTACCCCATATAAGTGTATCTCATCTCTCTAATAACAAAATGTTTCTTGACCTTTTTTTTTTTTCTGGTACTGGGAATTGAACTCACAACCTTGCAATTGCCAGGCCAGCGCTGTGCCGCTGAGCTAGATCCCCAGCCCCAACAAAATGTTTCTTTAATCAAAGGCAGTAGATGGTTACATGTTTTCTTTCTGTGTTAAAGACCAAGTCAAATGAAAAGGAGAGCTGAGACCTTGGCAGGAGTGACTGTTACCCTTCCTAGTCCTTTTGAGTGACAAGGTGCTTTTAGGAGGAACAGTCTGGTCTCCACCAAACCAACAAGGAAATGTACATATTTTTTGATAAACTATATATGCTTTTCTTGGGTATATGTGAATTTTCTAGTTTTGTCATCTAAAGCAAGACAAGTTTTATGCAAAATCCTTTCATATCAAAAGTATCTTTATATTTATAGACTTTTTATATATTTTTTTCTATCCCATCCACTATAAACTTTACAACCAGGTTGGCTGCAGCCACTTGAATTCAAAGTATCCTTTTCTCTCTCTTTTTTTTATTTTTTCTTTTGGTCTCAGATTGTTACATTTTAAACTTGACTGGCTGCCAACAGACTTCCAACTAACCATGAATCAGTGTTCTTATCTTAAACCATCAGACAACAAAGAAAAGAGCAAGTTAACTCTGCAATTGTAGTTTAAGAATTTACAATACACAAGAAATATTTTAAGCGTGTTAAACAGCAAGACCAAATTAAATTGGAAGGCAAAAGTAAAATCAGTTAGCTGTGATTTGCCACACCTGATTTTTCTCTTTCAGGGGAACTTCCTTTGGGGGAAAGAGGGATTGAGCCCCCTTTGGTCTCCTTTTTGGTCTTTGGGAAAATGGAAGATTTTGAACATCATTTTGGCACTCAATAATTTTTTTTTTTTTTTTAGACAGAGGATAAGGTCTGTCTTTAACAATCATTCTAATGGGATGCTTCTCCCCTTTGTTCTGTGTTGCAGCATAAATCACTCAGTCACTTTGCTTCAGGCCAATTAGACCATCCCACTCACAGGAGTGTTCAGGCTCTGCTTAGCAAGTGGAGGCTTTGTATAAGTCCAGACTTGGACCCCATAACTTACCTACCATTTATGAGATGCAGCTTCTAGTCCTGGTTGCTACTAGTCCTGGTTGGTCCCACACTTGTCCAGGGTGTATAGTCTACAGTGAGACCTGTGGCCCCACACACTTCACTCTGCTCATTCACGCACAATCATATACCTACCCCCATCCCAGTTTTCTTTTCCAACTTGGGTTTAGGTTTCATCCAAATTTGCCTGGGTCTTACTACTAGGTACACCTCTTATGACCCATTGTTGCTGCAGGCCACTCTTTTGATCTTGACTTGAGGTTGTAGGTTTAGTCCAACACAGTCCAAGTCAGATTACTTGGTACATTCTGGGAAGTGATCAAGCTCCCTTCACCCTTTTGGGGTGGGTTCTACCTTGGGCCCCAAAACCTTACCATGTCCTGTAACATGCTGTTCCAGACTCATCCTGTAGCCTGTCAGGTTTTGCTGTGCTGACGGAGAAGTACATTGGGGCTGCAGAACAGCTGATTCCTTTTGTGACTTTAAGTGTCTCCCAGTGGCAACAGAGGTCTTGGAGTCTCCCCCACTTTGGACTACTTGGGCCTGCAGGAAAAGGAGCCAGCAAGCCTGTCATCTCTAGTCCTAAACACAAGAGACCTCAGATGAAACAGATTTGTTGTAGGTGTACATGGACTCAGAGGACTCATGTCCAAAGGGCTGAGCCCTGAACTAAGGAAGGGCTCTAGTGTTATACATGTTGTTGAGGGGCTTGGTCTCTTTAAGGACATGAAACTTGTAGGCTAGGAAGCAAGTTTGCAAAAAAGAGAAAAAAGGCAGTTTGTCAAGCTGTGACAGCTTTGCAATTTAGCATATCTTGGTGGCCCTGCTTGGGCATAACAAGATGTTATGAACACAGGAGGTTATAAAACTTTTGTACAGGGACAAAAGTTACTGATTTTACCTGTATTAGAGCAAAGGACAATAGCTGGAGGGAGGAGTATGTCTAAAGGGGGATTTCTTAGGTTGGGGAAACTTACTTTTTTCTTTTTAAGTCCTGCCTCCCTATTATTTGCTCTTTAATGGTAATACTGCATTGTTAGAATCATTATACAGTGTATCAGTCTTACTGATAGAAAGGGAGTTTATGTTTCTTTTATCTTGGAAAAGTTGTACTAGAATTTGCCCCCTAAACTAGGCTAGTTATAGTTAGGTAGTGAGGAGTAGAACAGTTGTATTGGCTTGCTTTCAACTTCAGTAGATTAGTTTTGCAAATTAGTAATTACTTTTTGTTTTTAAACTTGTTAATAATTGAATCATCAGAATTATCCTTGGAATTACTGGTTTTAGCTAAATTTGCCTTTATAAAAATTTATAAAGCAAGATAATTGTAACTATTTGAATAGATGTAATATTCTTCCTTTAAAATATTTTAACAGGGTTGTATAATGAATCCATCACAAGCCGTATCTAATAATTCTTCAGAGTTATTGTTTGATTTGACCCAGGATACAGGATTATCACATTACCAAAGGGGACCAACACTTTCTATAGCAGGTTGGTTTTAGTTCTTTTCTCTAAAACTATCAAAAGAAAATTGATGAATATGGAGTTGTCTCTCTGTTTTAAAGCCTATACCCTTGTGTGAAAGTTTTCACATATTACATCATGAACTGGTGATAACTTTTGAATACCTTTTGAGGTGACTTTTTTATATAAAGTCTTAGCTAAACTGCTTTGAACTCCTTCTCACTTATATCCCCTCTCAGAAGTCAATAAGAAAAGGTCTTAATCTCTGAGAGAAGCCCTTAGATACTCTAAATACTCTATTAAAATTTTTTCACTGTGAATGGTGGTACATGCCTCTAATCCCAGCACTTGGGAGGCTGAGGCAGGAGGATCGCTGTGAGTTTGAGGCCAGCCTGGGATACATAAAGAGTTCAAGGCCAGCCTGTAACACATAGTGAGACTTTGTTTTTTTAAAAAGAAATAATGTCTTCATAACTACTAGTATGAAAAAGTATATGGCTATAGTTGATGTCTTCAGTTAGTATTCTATTCCAATAGATGATTTCAATATGATAGTTAAGTATGATTTTAAAATAGTGATTTTTTTGTATAGCAATTTGTATATAGTACTCAGTAAATCCCTTTGAAGGAATAATGAAATTTACCTATAGAAGATTTAAAGTTGGTGCATATACTACTATAATAAAGTTTTTCATTAACCTAAAATACATTAGTAAGCTATGAAAGAATTTTGTCAGGTTGAAAATTCCTTATGACCAAGCAGAAAAGTTTTGTATACTATCAATTTGTGCGTATTTCAAATATTTGACCTAAGGGAGAGGTATATGATTTTTTTGGAATTCTTAGATTGTTTACTAAACAGAACATTGTGGAGAATTTTCCACAGTCTTTTCCAGTTTTTTGTAATAGTAATGTTTCAATTGTTTTTCCATTTTATTTACTTTTTATTTATGTATTTATTTTTTGAGACAAGTGTCTCCTATGGAGTACAGGCTGGAATGCTTATGTAGCCCTGGCTGGCCTCGAACTCAGCAATCCTCTTGTCTCAGCTTCCTGAGTGCTGCGATTACAGGGGCGTGCCACCATGCCTGGCTGTGTTTCCATTTTAATACTGTTTCCTTTAATATGCACTTGTGGATGTCTGTTACATACTGAGTAAATATCTGGTTAGTGAAGTAGGTGAGAATGAAAAGAAATGGAGAAAAAAAACTGTGTTTATCTGGTTTTACAAAGCACATGGATTTTATTCATAGAAAAACTCTGAATTCTTCAAATTTCTTGGATCTAAGGACAAACAGTGACTCCTCTCCCTTTAGGTTTTCTACTCTGGAGATTGAAACTTTAGTCTGAGCAATAAGGAGGATGATTTGCAGTTCTTGTTCTTTCTTTCATTTTATTTTTCTAATCCCTTTGGTGCTGGATATTGAACCCTGGTCCTGGTGCATGCTAGGCAAGTGCTGTACCATTGAACTGTATCCACAGTACTTGATACAGTTTTAAATTTTGAATCGAGGTCCCACTAAGTTGCCCACACTGGCCTTGTTAGATTTCCTGCCTCAGCTTCCCATGTGGCTAGGTTTATAGGTGTGTACTACCACCACCTGGTTTAAAAAATGAATTTATAAGGCTTTAAGTACTTGATAATAAATGGCTGTTACGTATGACAATTAAGAATAATGATGTGCTACATGATGGGTAACATGAGTAGTAGACTGCTGTCTGTGCAGATTGTTGGGGTTTGGAGAAGACTGAATCTAAGCTTGATCTTGAGTGAGAGTTGGATTTAAACTAACAGAAACAGCTCTTTTGAGGGTGTGGAACGGCCCAAACCTAACAACAAATATACGTAATACACAATTTAAAAGAACTGCAGAGTGATAATGAAATACTGCAGTTTCTTATAGTCTTACATTGAGACCGTCTGTTTCTGCCATCTTGCCTGTTATGTAATCAATTCCTTGATTCAAAATCGTAGAACTCACTGGTTTTTCAAGTAACCTAAATGCTAATGTAATTACACAGAATCTTTTCTTACGTACCTATAGTATTATCTACATGTAATCAAATGCTTTAAAGATGGGGCAAATAATTTTTATGTTGTCTCAAGGTTGAAACAGAGAAGCTGACTAGTATAATCAGATGGTATATTCAGTTGACTACTATAATCCTGGTGTGTTTTCCTTTATTAAGCACTTAGGTGAATCTGTTGAAATAATTTTTTCTGCCTAAATTAAGATGTAAAATATTTGTTAGTAGTAATAATAGCTGTCAGTAATTATTGAGCACTTTCTATGTGACAGACGTTTTGTTGGGATGCTTTAAATGTTATCTTATTTATCCCTAGAACAGTCCTGTACAATAAGATATAACTTTCCAATAGAAGAAACTAAGATTCAGAGAAATAAGCTAAGAATACATAGCTAGAGAGATACAGTTTGGACTTGAACTTCTCATGTCTGACTTAAAAGACTAGAATATTTCTAATATATTTACCACTTCTGTTAATGTACAGTTAGGGTTATTAAGTTAAATGTGATGTGCGGTTTTGCAGTCCTTTTTGCAAGGTACAGTGTGTGTTATTTTCAAAAAGGATTCTGCCTGGTTTGGTTGATAGCCTAAAGGTAAAATCTTTTAGCTTTAAGGCAATAGTTTTCAAATGGAAAAGTATTTTTAGGAATAAAATCTCTATACAAAAAACTTCATGCAAGGGTCTAATAAATAAACTGGAAAAGAGTTTATCTGTCATACATGCCCGGTTTGTTCTTTAAAATGAACCCATTAAAGTCTGGAGAACATAGTGTAAAAATCCTTATACTAACTCCTTGCATTATGTGCCCTTTCGTATGAATGAGTATCTATCCCTTTGTGCATAGCAGTAAATGGGTAATAGCAACTAAAGCCAAGAGTAGACCATTCTGCAGTTTGTTAGGTGGGAAAAATAACACACTCACAGTTTACTTAAGTTGTTAAATAAAAAAGTATCTTAAGGATCTCTCAAGTTTTGGAAAAATAAAAATTATTTCTGTCATTTTCTCTGTAATCTCTAATGAGCTCAGGCATCTAAAGTTAAGGATAATTCATTTGTATCTAGTTGAGAGTATTTTCTGCCTTAACTTTTTGTTTTGGCTTGTATGATATATTGGTCAGGCTTCTTTTATTGTAATAACTGCTTATATATTTGTTTATTTGAAACCATATCTAGATTCTTTTGTGTAAAAAGTGTTTTGCAAATTATTTGAAAAAAAAAAAAAAATATATATATATATATAGTATATGATAAATGTTCATGCCTGTTCTTTACCCACCTTGGGTTTGGATCACTGAATTTCTATTGTATATATGATATGATAACTCAATTGTATTGTCTGTGATTTAGCTCCAAAGCATTTTAATGTAGTTGTAAAGAATTTTCTAAATTGTTATTATTTTTCCCACTATTTAAATCATTCTAGGTATCAATGAAAGTTCATTTTTATCAAAACGACCTTCTGCTTCTGAAGCAAACAGTGTTAATCCAAAAAAACCTAAGCCCAGTGAAAGTGTTTCTGGAACAAATTCCTCAGCTGTGTTCCCTTCAGTTAAATCTCCTTCCCAGACACCTTCCCAGGCGATGCCGTCAAAAGGTAAATAAGAAGTTTGGCTTATAAAAAAGAAATTACTAATATTTATACGAAACTTTTGGATATTGTTGAAAATGTAAGGGCTATGTAAGGTTAAAATATGATGAGTTTTGAACCATAAATTTATTTTAGGTGCAGATACCTCATCAGATCAGTCTAAAAATGGAACACCTTTTCCAAGAGCTTGTCCAAAGTGCAATATTCATTTCAATCTTTTGGATCCTCTGAAAAATCACATGAAGGTAAAATTCCTTCAAAATTTAATAAATTTAATTTTTAAAAAGTTTGCAAGTCTCAGTGTGGTGGTATAGCTCAGTGGTAGGGTACCTATTTTTGTTTTCAAGATTGTTGCTGTTGTTTGTTATATAGAAAAATCTAGCTTTTAAAACTGCATATTGCAAGTGTTTCCTTTACCCTGGTATTTAGTGGCTTTTACCCCAAATTCTACCTTGATGTCAGGCTTATAATACTTGTTTTCTTCAACTTTTCTGAATCACTTTTTTTAAAGGTATTTCTTTTGCTTTCAGAAGTTCTTTTCTTTGTGTTCCTATATGAAAAGTTTTTTTTAGTACTTCAGTTTATATTCATTGATAAGATAGATTTTTGCGCTTATGATTGGTTACAATTTTTTTTTCACTTTTTTTATTCTTATTTCTTTTGTTGTTGTTGTTTTTGGTTTGTTTTTCCAGTACCGGGGATCGAACTCAGGACTGTGCACTTGCCAGGCAGGTGCTGTGCCGCTGAGCTAAATCCCCGGCCCCTTTTCACTTTTTTTAATACTTCCTTTTTTAAAAAAACTATTTCATTGTGTGGTTACTTTATATGTAGTTTGGATTTTAGGGAAGTTATAATTTTGTTCTGGTTATCTGTATAATTTTAATATTGTGTAACTCTAGTTGTCCTTTATTCCTTTGGCTATTCTCTATTATTCTCATCTATTAAGTAGCAATAAACTTTCTATTTTGTACCAACCTATCTTTGATATCTGTAGTACCTAATTTTAACCATGATACAGGGGCTAATAATGAGAAAAGCAAATAATTTCTTTAAAAAGTTAAAAAGGAGTAGAAAAAAATGACAGACATGTCAGGCAAAGAAAATCAAATTCACATTGGGCATGCAATTACATTTTACTGTTACCATTGCTGTTAAAATGCTTGTGCCCTTATTACTTCATTTGTTGACTAATTGATATTTTTTGATGTACTTTCATCATATGTGAGGCTATGTATAAACTTTGTCAAATTAATACTCATTGTTCCTTTACCTCTCCCAGTTTGTATTTGTTGGTTGTATCAATTTTCCACTAGGGCATGCAGCGTTACATTTAGTTTTCTTAACTTTGTCTCCACATTTTTGCTTTAATCTCTTTCCATAGTAAATATATTCAGTGATAATCACCAGTCTTTTTGGCATTGTTTCTTTGGTTTTCTGTTTGGCTGAAGTTTGTCCTTTAGTAATTTTCCTCCTGAAGGCTCTGGGACATCACCTTAAATTTTTTTATGTTCAGAATAGTTTGACTATAACCCATTCTTGAGAGGCAGCTTGGCCACACAGAAAATAAGTTGGATTCCACTTTGAGGATTGTGTTGGTATTTAAATGTTGCTGTTGAAAGTTTGGGACAAGCCTGAATTATTTGCCCTTTTAGGTGATTAGATCTTTTTGCCAGGCTAGCCAGAGGATTCTTTATTTTTGAAGACTGATAATTTTACACTGCATTAATTTAGTGTTGGGAATTTTGTGTTTGTTTTCCCCATCATATAAAAACTCAAGATGATTTACCTCAGCCTCCTGAGTGCTGAGATTACAGGCGTACGCCAGCTTGACTGGCTTTGAATTGTATTTTAAAGCATTTACATTCCATGTTATTGCATGCCCGATGGGAATTTGTTTGATTTTTTTGTTGTTGTTGCCTGACATACTTTTTTTTTTCTAGTCCTTTTAACTCCTTTTTAAAACAATTGTTTGCTTTTCTTATTATTAGTCTCCGTATCTTTTATTTTGCAAAGTCTAGTTAGCACTGTACTCGTCTCTAACTTACTTTTATCTATCTGGTTTTGTTTTCTTTTTTCCTGGATACTGTACTCATATTACTCTTATTATCTTGCTTTTTTGGTCTTCCAAGCAGAAACAATTGCCTCATTAAATTTTTAAAATTTTGTGACAAAAATTTTGGCCATTGTTTTCATTTGTATCTGCTCCGTGGCAACACGTATTTTCATTAGAATTTTACATTTTCTGTTACTAACTTCTTTTATCCTAAAGTACTTTTGTTTATATGCTAGTGAGTCCTATCAAATTGAAAAAGCGGGACTGAAAGGCCTGCTGTTTTTTACAAGTTTCCTGTTGGGAGGAAATATAGGTTGCCAGGATAGTCTCACACTCTCTGTCTGGTTCACACAATATTTACCAAGCAAAAGGCTTCTAGCAAGTATCACGTATGTGTGTGTGTGATTCTTTATGTAGCATTCATTACTGTTTCAGCTTCTCTGTACCAAATCAGGTCTGGGGTATTTCTGCTTTTATACCTTCTTCAGCAAACAAAGGATATAGCTTTGCACTTCAGAATATGTATTCTCTCATCCTCAGGATATATATAGTTTCCTGACACTTTTTTTTTTTTTTTTTCCTTTTGGCAGTGCTGGGAATTGAACCCAGGGGCTTGTGCATGCTAGGCAAGTGCTCTAATACCGAGCTGTATTTTCAATCCCCTTACTGATTCTCTTAAGATCTGTTGGTGCTGGGGATTTAGCTCAGTGGCACAGCACCTGCCTGGCAAGCGTGAGGTCGTGAGTTCGATTCCTGGTACCGGAAAAAAAAAAAAAAGATCTGTTACCATTTGGTTTCCTTCTCTGAGTTATTCCCAACCCCGTGCCTTTTCCCTGATCTTGGCTGCTTTATGCAGTATTGTGTGTATATTATGGTGTCTGTGGATTTAATCGGGCTCTTATTTTCAGTGAAAATCAAATTTGTAGAATTTGGTTGTTTGGCTTTTGGATGACTTCCAATATGAGGAGTCCTATTTAACATTTAAAAAGCACCCTTTACCCCTATTTGGTGGCTTGTACCTATAATCTCAGCCACTTCAGAGAATGAGTTTGTGGTCAGCCTAGGCAACACAGTGAAAGGCCCATCTCAAAAAACAAAAACAAAACAAAGTTCCCACCTTTTTTGCTCTAAAATCCTAAATTAATGTACTAAGAAATGATAGAACCTCGTCTATATACTAGAAGGTAAAAAGATGAGAAATGTGTAGATGGTATGTGGTATTTGTCAGGCATGGCAGTGTTGGCAGACCTATGGCACACATGCTGTAGCAGGCTGCTATCTCTGAAAGCTCTAAAAGGTTCTCTATTGCTGATATATGATATCAGAAGTATTTAATATTTGGAGAGTGAATAACCCAGGAAAATAAGGAATATATAAAGGGTTGTAATAAAGGGCAAGAATCAAAAGCATTCTGGGATTGAACAAAAGATAACCATTGATTTTTGGATCAGAGCTTAGCCGTGTACTACATAGCTTACTGCCCTCTTAGAAAACCTGAATCTAAGCTTATTTATCATGTTTTAAGTTCATTTCTTGCCTTTTGAGTATTTTCTCTATGATAATTTGCTTGCCTAAATTTTAAATGGCTAGATGCCCCTCCCCTTTCCCATATCACTATATTTTGCTGTCCATTTTTGGTTGTCTGTAATTTATATTTATATTATTAAGTTTTTTTATAGGGATCTAAAACTTTTCTTTGGTACCAGAAATTGAACTCAGGACCTTGCACTTGCCAGGCAGGCAGTGTGCCACTGAGCTACATCCCTGGCTGTAAAAAAAATTTTTAAAGGACATTGTGTATAAGCTTTGTAGTTTTACAAATCTGATCCTGTCTTTTCTATAAAAAGAAAGAGAAGAATAGCAAGACATCATCTGTTATGTATATCATATTTTCTGAGTGTTAGAATAATCTTTAACTTTCATAGATACCAAATTAGACTTCTCAAGAATATATACCCTGCAGTGTACTCTACTATAGATTATTTAGATTATTTTGTAGATTTCAGATAAGAATCAAGTGCCAAATACGATTCAATAATTTTGTTGAAAACCGTCTTTCAACAAACTGTTGGGGATGTAAGATTATTCACATTTTGTGCTGGAGATGAGGTCAGCAGTGGAGTACTTAATTAGCATGCCTGAGGTCCTGGGTTCAATTCCCATTACTGCCATAAATTGATAAATAGATTATCCATATTTCTAATTAGGAAGATTACTCTATATTACATAATTTTGTGCAGTATAATTTTCCCCCATTGTTGCTTGAGATCTTCCCTACATAAAGACTGCAAATAAGAGGAGAGTTTTGTACATCAAAATGATGCCACTGGGGCTGGGGATTTAGCTCAGTGGCACAGCGCCTGCCTGGCAAGCACAAGGTTGTGAGTTCGGTTCCTGGTACCAGAAAAAAAAACAACAACAAAAAAAGAATGATGCCACTGCTATACATAATTACTAGTAAGGCGTAAAAGTCGTATAAAAGTCCTTAGAAATAGTCTGCTTTTCCTAAGTTTGAGCACTGAAATTGTTTTGTTACTGTTTTTTGAGACAGGGTCTCACTCTGTAGTTCAGGTTAGTATTGAGTTCATTATGTAGACCAGGCTTGCCTCAGATATGTGACCCTCCTGCCTCAGCCTCCCAACTGCGGAAGTTACAGGTGTGCACCACCACACCCAGCTGGCACTTAAATATTATATGTATCTCTAAAGAATCTAGAAACATGAATTTTAAAGAACCTTTAATCTTTCTTCATTATGGTTCCATTTCAGCTAATTTATGCTGAGTAGAGAATACAGAGAATCATGGTGTATTAGAGAGCTAATATATTTGTCCTAATTTTGCTTATGGGTGTAACCTCAATTCTAAATATATATAAGCTAAGTTATATCACGTTTTTTTTGAGACAGAGTCTCTCTGTAGTTCAGGCTTCCCTTGAACTAACTCACTGTGTAGCCCAGGCAGGCCACAAACTCAACAGTTCTCCAGGCTTATCCTCCCAAGTGCTTAGGCTCCAGCCATGCACCACCACACTGAGCTCTATGTCACTTTTTTGTTGGTCCAATTTATTTAGAATTGTTCTCTTTTTCTTTGTCTACTTTAGAGTCTTTGAATTTTTTGTTTTATTTGTAGATTTAAAAATTGACAAGTGACACAAAATAAATATAGTGCAACCTTGAAGGAAATATTATAAATCTATCTTCAGTTGAAGGGTTCTCTTGTAATATAGTGTTTTACTGATTATCTGACCTTTCAAATATGGCAGAAGAGGAAGTGGATGTTGTTTTCTTAACAGTGGAAGTTTGTATTTAGATTTTCAAACTTTTCTAGTATTGCTGATAATGTAATAAGTAACATTTAGGAAACATGTAATTTATGGAGGAATTTCTTAGGTTGCTTGTTAAAAAAATACAGCTTTCTAAGCCCTATGTCTACACACTATGGTTTAGGTGGTCTGAAGTAGGGCTCCCCAATTATCATTTTAGTTTATTTATTTAGCTTTTTGGCTGTTTTTTTGAGACAGGGTCTTACTATGTAGTTCAGCGTGGCCTTGAACTCACAGTGTACCCAGGCTGGCTTTGATCCCAGGGCCTCAGCCTCCCAAATGTTGTGATTATAGGTACGATTAACATGTTAGCACTTCTGGGTATTTCACTGTTGGTCTTTCCAGGCTTGACCGCTTATAATAAACCACTTATAATAAACTCTTCTTCTTTAGAGAAGTCTCGTAGCTGAAAATTATGTACACTGAATGAATTAGTTATATCTTGTTAGAAAAAGAAATGCTCAGGTATAAAAGTATTACATACTGGGAAAAGTTTATGTGACATCTTCATTTTACTCATGAGGTAGTACATTTTCTGTTCAGGTATTTAAGTATTTTGGATATCAAGATAGAACAAATGTATTTCTCTTTATATTCCACATATTTTCTAGTATTTTGGTTCTGGGGAATGGTATATTAGCTGTGTTCAGTTTAGTTCCAACCAGACTTTATGAAATGTTATATATCACATGATAATTAAACATATACATCAGGGAATGTAAAATACATTTGCTTCCTGTACTTTTGACAAAGATATAAAAAGAATGATTTTTGATTAAGCAACAATGTATTAAATATATATATATAAAGGAAAATAGCAAGGGAAGTCTACAGCCAAGTCCTGGTTTTAAAGTTTTTCATTTTTTTGAAAAAAATTTTTTTGTTTATTAAGCTAGGAGGTATTTATTGTTTAAATCTTTTAAACTGTGGATACACCACAAATTTTTGGTGACTATTTTTTCAAATAAAGAACAGTTTTACATGGTCTGGCTTTCGTTGTAAACACAGAATCTTTTTTTTTTTTT